TCAGACAGAGCACCTGCAATCATATACAGGTGATCCTTCTTCCTAACCTAGTCATCCATATTGCTATGAAACACAGGAAGGATACTGACCAGTTGGAGCAGGTCCAGAGAACTAGATGATTAGGGGGATGGAGCACCTTTCCTATGAGGAAACGCTAGAAGGATTAGGATTGTTCACCCTGGAAAAAAGAAGGCTTACAGGTTGCCAAATTGTGGCCTTCAGTACCCGAAGAGAGCCTACAGGAAAGACTAAGAGGGACTTTTTACAAGCACATGTAGTGACAGGACAAGGGGGAGTGGCTTCAAACTGAAAGAAAGTCGGTTTAGATTAGTTATTAGGATGAGATTCTTTACTGTGAGGGTGGTGAGGCACTGGAACAGGTTGCCCAGAGAAGCTGTGAACTCTCCATCCCAAGAAACTTTAAGGCCAGATTGGAAGTGGCTCTGAACAACCTGGTCTAGTGGAAGGTACCCCTGCCCATGGCAGGGGTGCTGGAAGTGAATGATCTTTAACCCTAAGCCATTCTATGATTCCCTGATAAATACCACCCGATGTCCATGTTTATATTCCTGGTTCTGCTGAAGGAGGGGGTGCCTGCGGCTGGGATCCCTCCAGCCCGACAGGGATGTTCCCACGCCTGACCACACGAGGCCTCCCTTTTCCAAAATACGGTGCACAGAACCTTCCTCTTCCAGAGATGAAGAAAAAGAGACGAATGATTCCTTTCTCTTCAGAATGAGCACCTATCCATCCACCTGTGTCTGCCCCTCTACCTTCTCATACCCACAGAAAAGCAAGCAAAAGGGCCAGATCATGAAAAAACTCACCACAACCCGGGAACACCTTTCTCCACAAGCATTTACAAAAGGCTTTACATAACCAAAAGTCTCCTTAAAGGAATGTTTAATTTGTGCTATAAATACACAAGCAGCACAAATGCAATTCTGGCTGGCAGCTTGTGGCTTCAAGCAGACCCCTAGCTCTGTGTGATACATCATTTTTCCTACCACACTGATGTTCTTGCCTTGTTTCTTTGCATGGCCTCTCTTGGGCCTTTTTTAGCATCCTATAAACATTTACAAAAATATGTGTATATATGCATGCCCCTCTACAAGTTTTTGTAATGTACATATTTTTACACCATGGAAAGAAAATAGCATTTATATCTAATGATAAAAATAAAAACCATTTTGATAAACAGTTATATAAATTGGGTCAAAGATCTAGAAATCAGTATTCTGGTAATCAGTTTTCTTCTTTCTTCACTTTTCACTCCATGTTATTAACAAGATAGACACAGGTCAGATGTGTCATTAAAATAATTGATGCAAGTTAAAAAAACAACTGTTTTTTCTAATCAGATCAATTCATTGTGCATATTGAAACTCAAATTTATTAGACTACAGGGGCAAAAAAAAAAATCTTTTTTTTTTTTTTTCTCTATGCAGCCAGAGCCATTATAGCTGAAAATTAGCTGGATTCTGTGTATGAATAATTAACAGATGCATTGGTTCAGTTCCAAGTGCAGAACCAGCCTAATTGACAGAGTTACAGGAGTTAGTTAAGACTCGTTGGGAAAGTAAGACAGGTTCTGTTCTGGACCTTCTGTCATCAATGCTTATTGACTAAATTCCACTGGCAAATGCTGCTTTACTGGTGATGATATGCGTCAAAACAACATAGCACTGAACTCAGGTACACAACTGAGACTTAATACTGACACAAGAATGCACAAGAACTTTCTTTAGCATGACTGAAAAATTAGATATGCAACTATATAGAAAGTGAGAGCAGCATTATGTCTTGATAGTCACAGATTAGACTATCTGTGTCCTAATTTAACTGTATATACAACCATGGAGTGATGGCAATTCTAGATAGCTGATTCATGTTCTCAGGAAATATAATTAGTCAGTTACCATTTTACATCCAGCAAAATCAACTTATAGCAGAATTTATTTAGTCACTTTCAAAGTTACTTAATATATCACACTAGATTTTCTTCAGGGATTTCACCACAAAATTCTGCCAAATTTTCCCTAAATACTAAAGTATTCCTGTTCCATGCAGGAGTTTCATATGTAAATGCTTCAGAAATACTGTTTAATAATTAATTTCTATATACAATTTTTAGAAGTTTTATGGTAAGCTATTTCAAAATAGTTATTAGTAATTCTGATGTAACAAAAATATTAATAGTTCTAATGATATATTAGAACTCAAACTCAACTATTTTTATGATTGGAATGAATTTTCCTGAAATATGAGGCATTTAATGCACACACAGAAAGAGATTTAATATATTTTCATAAGGATAAAAAAGTGTGGTTTCTTAGCTATAAACCTTAAAATTTAGGTATTAACATTAAAGCTTTATCAAGTCTATTCCTCCTCAAGCTTTTATGTAAACAACATCTTTACAAAAAAATCTAACATATCAGCCAAATTCAAAAAATGTATTTTTTTTTTATACTTGCCCAATGTTTGTTGCCTCTGTGCACATGTGCAATATGATGGCTCAGAAACTTGGATCATTACCAAGCTTTTAGGAACAATTCTGGATCGTCACTTCACATGTTTCTTCTTCCCTCACACTAACTTAGATGAATAACCCACAACAGTGAAAACTTTGTACCTCTGTGCATACCATTCAGGTGTTGATTTTTATATTGGTTTTAATCTAACAGTGATGACATTTTGTTTGTACAGCACTGTCTGGCACACTGGCTTTTGGTTGCCCACTAAAAATCACATATTATCACAACACAAACGATGAATGTAAGAAATATTCTAGCTTCCAGCTATTATTACCTGTGGGCAAAACCAGAGTGCACAACTTTGACCTTGTAACATAGATTGGACAGATGCTGAAGCAAAGTCCACCAAAATTAAAGGGGTGATTTGTACTGGCTTCAGTGGGTCCTATACCAGCTCTTAGGCCAGTTCAAATACTATTACAATCACACTGTAAAATATAAATATCCACTAACTGGATGACACCCAAACACAGAAAGCCTTAAGAAAATCTAAGGAGTTAAATACAATTTTGTAAAATGTCCTTGAAGTCTCGTAGTATTTCTATTTTTTACTGGAAAACAGTTTTAAAAATCTTTCCTGAAAAATTATAGAGATCTGATTCTTTCCATCCCTAAAACAAACCCAAACTTTAATAATTTACAAACATTTCTAACTTTCTATTGGAAATGTGAACACTCTGATGAATTAATTTGTAAATAAGTTTAAACATTTAATCTTTTTCCAGAAAACTGCTCAGAAAAATAGCTTTAAGATGCTTTAAAGCATAATCATGTACTTCCACACCTTGTTATTGACAAATAAAAAATAAGGGCCACTAAGGAAGATCCATTTTTTTAAACAACATTAATCACAGTGACAACATAGAAATATAGCTATTATTTAAATGAGAAAATTCTTGTTTCTTCAGCCTCTTGCTGTTTGCTCATTATGTTTCTGCAAGCTGGACTAAAACTTAAAATGTAACACGCAAAATATTTCAATTAGACTCCTTGAAATCTCACTTCATGTCAGACATCTGTGTTAGACAGAAGTAAAAAAAAAGGTGTTTTGAAAAGCTTAGATCATCATCTGTCCCAGAGAACCCTGCACCAGCACAGCAGCAGGGATGGAGGCTGTTCTGTCCTGGCCCACCACAGGCTCCACATCACCACAGGAAAATCATGGTTGCTGCCTGGGCAATGCAGCTCACAAGTGCTCAGGTGCGGGGTGGGAGCCATGAGTGTAGATAAGATATTTTCTTTTGCTAAGACTTTTTTCCCCTCAATCTAACTCACATAATTTATGCATCACTATTGCATTGTGTTTTCAAATTACAGCACAGCAGAAACAACAAGGAAATTGTAGTGGTCAATTATGATACATCGATTTACTGTACATTTACTGAATTTTGGAAACTAATTAATTCTTATTGCTTGAAATAAAAGAAAGGCAGACTATAAAAGAGGTGATTAAATTCACTATCAAATAGCATGCAAACATAACATTCACCTAACTCCTCTCAGTAATGAAGACCCTCATTTGTGAAAGTAAAAATAGGACAAGATACAGTTTTGGGCAGCAAGAGATCTGGGCACTGAATCACTGTCCATGTTCTTTTGGCACTGACTGAAACATGCTGGCATGATTTTTTCTCAACTGCATAACGTCACTCACAAATAGAGAACAAATACCAGAGCTACTGCTCTAAAAACACACATCCCCTATCACATTTAAAGAAATTTCAATGAGATTTTCTTAAGAAAAACAGAGGTAGGATATTAGTGACAGCTGAAGGTGGGAATACTTGTTATTGAGTACTATTACTATTTATTGAGTTATCTGGAGACAAAAAAAAGGCCCTATACAGAGAGAGGGATGAATTTAAATCCCCTGTGTGTAACTGATACAAATGAAAGTATGAAGTTGTCCCTGTGCCCTGTGCGAGCTCAGGGGAGAAGTGAGGGCAGCAGGCGATGGTATGTGTCTGAAATAACAAACCCTCTCCACTAACACCCGAGCTAATGCACCGGTGCGGGGGCAAAGCCAGAGGAGAGAAGTTGCAGAAGCTGAAATGAGCTTTTCAAATTTTACAGAGACGTGCAAACTGGTGGGGGGTGGAGGAAGACAGTGTCTTAATTCCTCTAGTGTCCTGTCAAGTCCATGGGGCAGAACGTCCATGGGGCAGAACAAAAAGGCAGAAGGTGACTGTGTGTTACAGTCCTCAGAGCAAAACACAAACATTATAAAAGCACAAAAGTTATATTAACTTGAGTCAGATATGAACAGAGCTTTGGGACAAGGCAGTAAGAATATTTGTTTGGCCCAGCAGGATAATCTATCAAGATGAAGAAATTGACAGTGTTTAATTCTTGGCCTTGAATAATTAAAATTTCCCCTCTAATGTGCTAGATAGGCCACTGCCACAGACCTTCAGAGCTATCTTACTTCATTTCAATATATTGCACAAAATGAGAAATAACTGAAACTTGAAAAAAAAAATTTAATTTCAGCTTCTCTCTGATTTCACTTTACAATACATTTTAATTTCAGTTTTGACATTGTGTGTGACCCAAGACAGTTGAACAAAGAGCTGTTTTTCAGTTCACGTTTCCTCCTCTACAAAAGCTTCATGCTTTAGCAGTTCTAAGTCACTGGAAAACCTAAGGTAACATGAAACAGCAGTCTTAACAAATACAGGGTTCATATCTCAGAGCAGTGTTTTCATACTGTGATGAAATGTGTATTCCCCCTAAACTGCATTTTGTTTGAACTCCATGCCTTCTGATCCCGTTTCCTCCCGTTTTCTTGATGTCAGCTATTTCAGTGCTGGCAGAAGATCCCTCTGAACTGCAGCTGCATTTGTAAATGTTTCATCAAAGGCCTGAAGGTCTGGTAAGCAGCAGACCCGGTGGGTGCTACGAATGTGATCTGGGTCTATCTCGGGGAGGAACAGCATGACCGTATTTACTGCCGATGCTATTCTGGGGGCTGGATGACGTGCTTCTCCCCTCTGCCTGAGCAACACTTGCCCATTCGTCTTTCAACACTCACTCCCAGCATGACAGGATGAAATAAAACAAAATTTACTGGTAGCAAGCATACTTGCATATTGAAGACTTCCATTCTAACAGCTTCAAGCACACACACAGTCTTATTTCAATAATCGTGTTAAAGATTTTGTACTCTAGGTAGATATGATTTTTAGGTTCCATCTAAAAAAAATAAAACCATAAGAAGATAAAGAAAAGTATTACCTCATAAAATAATTCAAATTATTATGGGGGCACAAGCTTATTTATCCCCATATAAATGAACCCTTAACCCAGACAGTGGTAACACAGTAGCTCCAGCTCTGCACAACACTTCAAAATGTGGACAGCAGCTGTGTCTCCCAAAAACTGTGAAAGAAGGGGGGGAAATTCTGTATTTGTTAAAGCAATTGTGCACGTAGGATCACCTTTTCCAAAATCAGGCAAGTAGTTTACAAAGTGAAACTCATTCAATAGCCAGCTAAATGAGCCAGGCACTTCCAGTCATTGATTAAACCCAACCTATCTATGCTAGACTTTGTAAGAGAAATGAGTAAAAAATTTTAAAAACCCAAACAAATGAAAAACCCAACAAAATTTCTGATTAAAATAATATGCACATTTTTTCACACTTCAAAGGTTATCATTTTGCCAATATTATTTTTTTTAATCTAGAAACATGCCACTGACACCAAATAGCACAGAAAAGATCACATTTTCTATTTTTTTCATCTCTTCAGCACTAGAACTGGAGAATCACAAAGTTGCATGATGCCAGATTCATTTCCTTTCTGGTTACTGAAATTTAAGGTAAGAACATCCTGACATCATAAATTTTCAAAATTGGCTGATATTTTTTAAATATTTAATTTGGCCTAATTTTGCAAATATGCAGCTAGCTGGTAAAAATAAAATCTGATTTAAAGTTTCATTAGACAAAAACTGCAGTCTCAAACTTACATAAAACTATATCCCCTTACAGGTGAAGACAAAATTGCAAACTCCAGCTTCTAACTTTAGCATGTTGTATCACAGAAACAGTCCTCCAGCTCTATTAAATTTTTGTTTTCATGGCAGAACTTCTTATAAGCAAAAACAGCAGCTAGATATCTGTGGGTGAATGAACAAAATTTTTGCAATGCTATCACATGAAATAAAGGAATTTCAAAATCAGTTTTACTGCTCAAATTGGCTGAAAAAAAAACTTTCTACCTTATATAATCAAATGCTTTGTACCTTACATAACCAAATACCATGCAGGTTGTTGACAATTTGTTTTTAAATACAGTGTATTATTAGGAGGACACAGATTCCATTATTAGAGCAGACACTATCAGAGAAGAGATATTTTCATATTCTGCAGAATCTTAGATTAAATTCCACTGTTACATACTTAATACAAAGTATAGGTGATTTACAAAAAGTAATATTCAACTAATTGTCAATTAATGGATAATTTTTCATAAAGATCCTTTTGAACAAGATCATAAATGTCTACATAAAAGGATGTTTCTTACTATGACAACTGCAGTTTCTAAAGGATGATACTTTGATAAAAAGCACTACAAAACCTGGTTTAGACTCTACAGCTAGAGAAATAAAAACCAAAACTTACTTTTAAACAAAATTTAAGGCTTAAAACTCTCCAAATAATACAGTTTGTTTTTAGGAAAAAATACTGCAAATACTAATTTATCCAATGTCTATATTGTACTTACCAGAAACACACAACGCAGATATACATAACTTATTCACATGCAGAGCTGCAAACACAAATTCATGTGAATTCACCAAAACAAGAGCATAAAAACTGTTCTGCACCTGCACAACACTGGTTGTTGGTTGCATTGTTGGTTGTGTCTTCCAAAATGCAGAATCTAATCTTTAAGTGAAATTTCAGCAGACAAGTACAAAACCATTTTGCAGCAATGAGGTATTACAGTAAGTGCATTTTCTAAGAAAGCCAGTTTTCAGGATGCAGAGGGGGCTGATATTGTAATCCACACAGGGAACAGGTTTCTTCATCATATAAAAACATCATGTTACAAGCTCTGAAATGGCCAATAGAAGAGAAGCAAATGAAGAAAAAATGAAATCTCATACCAGCTGGGAGGTTTAATTCATTGGTTAGGCTGATTATGATGCACTAACCCTTGCTATATTCTTTTATATAAACTTAAGTATCAAAATACATTAAGGTATTTGACTTGCATGTTAGCTGTGGTGAGAAAAATTTTCTTCCCTGGGACAAATATTCCTGAAGAAGTAGAAGAAACTTATCAATAGGGTGCACTTCTCAACTCAGGCATAAAAGCATCTGTTTGTCTTTTACTGTTTTATCAAAAAATCAGAGTAATCCGCATTATCCTCACCCAAGTTTAAGCAGATTGAGGGAGTGCCTTTCTATTAATGGTCTTTGCAGCACAGCCTGCTTAGACCTATGATAATGTCCTCCAAATTCCTCTATTGCAGACTTTGTTAATGGAAACATATCTCAAAAGTGACTATACTGCACCCAAAATATTCATATTACATTCAGTATCAAACATCAAAACCCTCAGCTTTTGCACCTCTGGTAGCACTTGTCTTATTTGCTCCATCATAAACTAAAAAAAAAAACCCAAACAAAAAACAAACAGCAACAAACTTGAAACACTGTCATATTTAAAATGGCAATGACTTTCAGATAATTTCACAAATGGATTCACTCAGAAGAACCAATTATCTGAGGTATAAAAAGCACCAACACTAATTCATTGGTGAAATGCAACAGTTGTTTGTTCTGATCCAGCACAGCAAAACAGGAGTGTGACATTAGCCAAAGCCTTTAAAATGTCCTTTAAAATTAGAAATATCATATCTAATTGCTATTTTAACATTAATTTATCACCACTCATTTTAAAAAAATCAATTTTTATAAGAAAAACACCAAAGAAATTCACAGGACATCCCATGTTAAGACAAAATTAGGTGTGAGTGCAGAATGATATGGTATGATATGGCCTCATCCCTATTTCTGATAAAATCTGCCTGATAAAATCAAGGCAGATCATAACGAGCTGCAAACTCCAGGGAGTAGCTGAAGAACTGTGGTTCCTACAGAAGCTGGGATGGATGCCTTCTTTGAGGTGCTCTCACCACTGCAAAGGTCTCCTGGTCTGATCTGCAGAGCTCTGGTCTCCTTCACTGGAGTCACATGAGACAGAAACACTGCAGAGCTGTCTGTTTGATGAAGGAATTCTTTTTACCAGAGCTCTGTGAAGGTCTGTAATCACTGGTGATGAAAATGCTAACTAATAAAGGAGGATTTTCAATTAATAAGTGGCCTAAAACATGGCAAAAAGCCTAGATTGCTGGGAAGATATAAGTGGTATATAACTCTCAATAGAGGTATTCAAAAAAATAGCATCACGGTGAGCAGGAAGGCCACTGAACTATTTTGTCCTAAGGTATTAAAGCAATATGTATAAAAATTATTTAATTCATTAGCTAATTTACATGAAAATTACCAGAGAAATTAAGATCTCAAAAGAATGTTATTCCTACAACTTAAAAATAGCGCAGCCACAAAGTACCCATCAAGGCAGAAGAGAGATGCTTTGCACATCTCTAACAAATAAATATGAAACAACCCCAATTCTTACCTGATGTGAGAGTTAATACAAATCCTCCAAACAATTAGAAAAGCTTCAATCAGGTTTTGGTCCTCCTCAGGCACCTTGAAAATCTGTAGGACTCAAGAGCTTTGGGTGCTGCTGCTGGATCATCAAAGCACGTAACAGGGCGAACATGGGGGACTTCAACAACCAAGGGACCTGTTGGGAAGGTACTACAGGATCATTACAATACAGAATCATAGAATGGCTTGGGTTGGAAGGGTCCATAAAAAAACACCCACTTCCAACCTCCCTACCATGGGCAGGGACACCTTCCACTAGACCAGGTTGCTCAGAGCCACTTCCAACCTGGCCTTGAACATTTCTCAGGATGGGGGAGTCCACAGCTTTTCCAGGCAACCTGGTACAGTGCCTCACCAAGCTCACAGTAAAGAATTTCTTCCTATATCTAACTTAAACCTACATTCTTGCAGTTTGAAGTAATTCCCCTTGTCCTGTCACTACATACTCTTTTAGATAGTCTCCATGTTTCTTGTAGCCTTCCCTCAGCTACTGAAAGGCCGTTGTACAAGGAAAAGTTTTGTTATTGAGCAGGTATGTGACTACAACAAATATGGAATATCTCTTTTTCAACCAACAGCGGGAAAATTGACTGGAAGTGCAAGACTGAAGGCAACTTGGGTGAAAGATTTTGGAGAAAATGTTATTTGTAATTCCTAGAAAAAGAGAATGGAATCCCAAACAAGGTAAACAGTAAAGCTGCCATCTTTTCTGTATGCTTTCAATTGCATTAGGGCAATTGTTTGCATAGATGTTCTGCAAAGAGAGCAATGGATTCAGCTTTAAGAGCAAAACAAAAATAAATCTTTTTGCTGGATTATTTTTAAGCTGGATTGGTTTCCTGATCCAAATCACAGCTCACTGAAGAAACAGTTGTGCTGGCAGCACAGAGGGTTGGGGGCATGAGACTATCTCAAGCCAGTACCTGCCAAGACTGCCCTGTAAAACTCACAAACTTAAGATTTGGTCTCTACTAGGTTTTATTTTATTATAAAGCCCAAAGAGAGAAATCTGTAAATATAATGTGAATATAATGTGAAAATAGTGTGAAGGGCATAAACAGAATCTACCTCGATGAAAAGGGAAAATAAGATGAGTATCATGAGATAAACTTGACTAAATTGAGAACTCTTTGAGGATCCTGAAACGCTAGAAGTATACACAAGTAAAAAGCAGGTCAGATTACTAAAGGATGAATTTTAGGGAAGAGTAGAAGTATGCAGGGGCAAAATCAGAAAGGGCAAATCACAGAATGAGTCTTAGTTAGGAACAGAAAAGGAAACAGACAGCCCTAGAGGAGGAGGAGGATGGTGAAGGGAAGGGCTGTACCGCTGCTCAGTGGGGAGAAAAAGCTTTCAGCCACACCAGTGAGATAAACCAAAGTGCTAAAAGCTTTTCTGTTTCAGCCTTCATTAAAGAGATATTATATATTTTGACTTCAGCAAAGCTGCTGATGTTTGTTAAACGTGATTTAAGTAAAGTTGTAAGAGTCTACACATGGTTTATAGTTACTAAGTAATGGTCATTAATTATTAAGTCCCAAGCCTGAAGGATGTATGAAATGTATATTGAATATTAAAGCATTTGTACCAAATAAATATTTGTACCAAATGTTTTAATATTCAATACCTTCATGAATAACTTTGATCTTGGAAGAGTTCAGTTATTACACATGCAAAAGGGCAAACTGTTAATAAAATCCTGTGAGGAACTTCAATGTGGAATTAAAACTGAAAATTAAATTTGGAGCATAATTTCAAAGTAGAAAAAAAAGAGTGTGCTAGTGAAAACCTGCTAAGTGAAATTCAGCTTCACTAATAGAAAGTGGCAAGCAACTAGTTAAACGGTATTCTATGGGAAAGGATTAGGACAACAGCAAATCACAAACTGAAGATGTGTTTTTACACATCATGTTGTGTGGAGAACAGAATTGCCATACTGCCAATTCCTGGCACCAGTGTAAAAGGAATAATGCCATTTGGGAGTCACAGAGAATTATGCTACTTTAACATGACACAATATTAGCCAAATAGTGTGGTTTGTATTTGAAATCACATTTTAGCAACTAATAACATAACATAATTAGGTAAAGTCCAGACAATAGCAACTGGGACAATCATGAGGTCTACAAGAAAATAATGCATCACAAACACTCCTTAGGCTAAAGAAAAATGCTCAAGCAAGACTAGACAAGCCATTTTCAGAAATGGGAATTTGCTCCAAAGGGGAAATCCATAAACCTTTCCCCTCTTCCCCAAGGAAACAAGACTTGAACTACAGCAGTTTCACATTTCCTATCGTCATTTAGGAAACATTTACTGGGGATAAATCTGATTTTCTAAGTATCTTCCTATAATAATAATCTATATAATCTGAATGCTGATTTAATCACCGGTATGACAGTTTTCCTCACATCAAGTGTTATAATATAAAATAAATAAGGAGTTAGATTCTTTTCTTCTTTATAAATCGATTAAGGTATAGTGATTCACTCATTTTTGTTCTGTAGATACATATAAAAAAAAAAAACCCAAACCAACCAACAACAAAACTCCAAATATTGACAAGATCCAGGAACAATATTTCATATTTTTCCACTATAATAAAATATTGTAGTATCTTTCTACTTTAAGAAAAATCATTTCAACACACTGTACCTTATTTGAATAGAGATTTCTGTTACTGTTAAAATCACTTCAAAGACAAAGGTGTTCAACATAAATGCTGCATTTCCTTAAAAACAAACTGTATATTTATTTCAAATCTAATTCAGTTGCTTGGAACAATGCTGAAAATAGAAGTCTGGGTAAAGAACATACTCATCCTGTTTTCAAATTAGAAGAGGATCTGTATTTTTGTTTTTTTTCTAAGCTTTATCAGCACTTTTGCAAGGAAAATAATAACTGTATTCACCGAGTAAGCACAATATCTCTGGAATTAAATATACTGTCTTACTGGCTAGGTCCCAGCTTCAACTGTGAGGTAGAACTGACACTGATACACCTATTCATAACACAGCATTGCTCAAATATTATAGTAGATTCAAAAAAACATCCTCTAGAATTACTGCTTCAGTATTTACACTAACTTACATGGATTTACAATGTATAAGGAAAAAGTGTTATGTTCCTGTTCTAGAAGTCAGGCAAAATTACTTGTGTTAAAGTTATACAGAACTATGTTTTAAAACTTTAACATAGACTCCAGACACAAAACTTGGCATAAAAGTCGAGGCTATTCCTACAGAGCCAGAAAAGACCTACTTGCCTTTGAAATTTCTACACTATGAGATTTGTACTATCTTTACTTCTGTATTTCTGCCTCCCACACAGCAGTTCTGTGTGTGAACTCCTCCGATACAACGTGTGAGGCGTGGAGCTCATCAGTGAAACATCCTGCCTCCATTCTGCAAAGCACTTGAGAACAGACTTTGGAGCTTTGCTTTATTTGAGCACAGATATGTTGCAGATGTTTAATTTAAAGCTCATGTGTAGTCCCAGTGAAGTAAATGGGATTACTAAAGTACTTAAAGTAATTCCCTGCTGAATCAGGCTTTTAAGAGTAAGAATAAATGTGCCTAATTTTTATTCATGCATCAGATATCTATAGACTAATAGTTTGAACTCAGCAGTTTTGTATCCAATTAATATTAGATGTCTGGAGTTAATATTAAATGTCTGTATCTTCACCTGCTGCACCTTCCCTCCCTACAGCAAGGACCTTTTTAAATGTAACCCTGCAGCACAGTTTTTGCATACATACTGTGTCATCAGGTACTCATGTTTTGCATACATATAGTGTCATCTGACTAGTGCTGTGATGACTTTTTTGCAAATAATTAATAAACTGCACCTGGCCCTTGTATTTTTTTGAGTATTACATGCATGAAAGATTTCAGAAAAGAGCTCTTGTAATGTAGATTTAAAAAGTAGTAGAATTAATTCCATTTACTTTGGACAAAAAAAGAAACTCCTTCATATACCTGTAACTGCTTAGTTCCTGCAGCTATGGAGTTGTAGAATAATTTTTAATTTCATCTGGGAAGAAGGAAAGGAAACAAAATCTGTGGATCTAAGGTATTTAACATATACATGCTAAAGGTTGAATATGAGCATTACTTACACTGTGGCCAGAAGCAAATATTATGTGGCTTGAACTGAAGTTGAGACCCGTCAATGCAAAATCTGTTACCAAAAAAAGACAACCCAAACAAAAAAACAAATAATAAATCTACAACCTCATCAGCAATGAGACACCTGTGGCTTCTTACATCATCAAGACCTGTCTAAGTGATGCTGGGAGTTCTCTGCAAAGCACTTCTATTCTCATATCTATTAAAATTTATCCCCCGCTGAAAATATAATAAGAGAAGGCTGGCAGTGATGAATTTATCTTGCCATCAAGCATCAAGTTCATTTAAATTGATTACCTCATTTAAATAAGTACACCTGGAAATATCAACCACATGCAAAATTACCACTGATTTTAGTATCATTTGCAGGTCACGACATACATATGATAACAAAAGAAAAATTCCTTCCTGAAATTTTCACTGTTCATCTCTGGCCCACCTGATCTTGTTGGTTCAGCTAATCTAGTATTAAAATCTGGAAAATTTAAATCAAGGGGGTAAAACAAAGGACTAATAGGCAGATGCCTATTTAATTTTTGCAATGCTACATCTTCTACTGTAAAGATACTAGAACTTAAGGCAGCCCTGATTAGCTATAGGCTTGGGATACCCTAAGAGACAGAGCATCCACAGCTTTAGGGATAAACAATTCATCGCTAAATAACAGTACAGTAACAGATCATGGCTGTAATTACCCCAGTCTTTACAACAGCAAATCCAGTCATTTACCAATACTGAGCCAAAAGAGATACCCAGCTTGGCAAAGGATTTGCACAACTGTGATTATTGTCTAGGCAGAGGGACACAGCTGGTCCTTCAAAGAAACAGCTGAGATCCACAGAGGAGCCGGGCAAATCTCCCATTCCCTCACCAGAGCACCTCTTCCACTGCCGAGGTGCAGCAGCACTGTCTGGATTTGCTAATCCGTTTCCACACCCCACCTCTGCTCCCCTCCGTGCTGGTTGTGTTCTGGCTGTGCACAGGGCACAGAATTGTTGTTCAAGGCAATTCTGATTTCACACCTCATTTATGCACACAGCACCCAGAAATACCATGCAATACAACAGTAGCCCCATAACAGACATACCCAATGCTCAGCAGCTCCAGTTCAATTGCAACAACTTCAAAAAAGTCTATTCATATAATAACATGCAATTATGAATAGGCAACATCCATGCCTAGAAAATTCTACACCAGTATCATTTATTATGCATGCTGACTTCCAACAGGTGGTTCCCCAAACCATACAGTGTTTCAATATTCCCTAATTCTTTTCAAACATTACAGGACTTTATCTTCTGTTGGAAGAAAGAAAACAGGAAATAAATTGAGTGAAAATAGTAAACTCCTCAAAGAACATGTATTGTCACCACTATTGTTTCCAATCTTTTTCTTGAGGAAGAAATGCAAGACACGTAGGGCATAAAACTCAGTAAGCTCAAGCAATACTCAGGGAATACTGCACTGTATCTTCTTCAGCAATCCCACCTACCGCAACATTTTCAGACTTCCCCTCCATTCCCAATAACAGCTTTCCAAAAATACCATACTGCAGTGAAGGTCTCAGTCCTTAACTTCAGCACACTTTGAAGCCTTGCCCAAAGATACATGGAAGACTGCATGTCTGTGTTACAGAAACAACATTTTTGTCTGGTTTTCTACACTCCAAAACTATGGAACAAAATTGTCCGGGGTCAAAGGGGCATTGAAAGCTTCTCCATCTTCTTGTGAAAAGGCACAAGTCTTTGACTGGGTCTTTTTCTCTTTGTATGTATGCGCCCAAATGTGTGCACTGTCTTCTACCGCCACATCTTCAAGCAGAACTAGAAATCCTCTTACAGCACAGAAAGAAGGCTTTGAAGCACACACTTCTTATGATGACAGGAGACAACAGTATCAGTTATGGCACCCAACTCTCCCCTAGAAAGAGCAGAAATACTTTGCCACTAAACTGTGTAAACCTGGCATAAAAATGTACACAGAAGAGTGTGCTGTGAAGCACAAAGTTTGAAAATTTATTAATGTAACATGGGTATGTTTAGTATGTGCAGTACTTTAATTTCATTTAGGTCTAAGACAAAACTGCTTACATTTGGGCCGAATTTGGCAGATTTCTGAAGCTTGACTATTTCAATTTCTAATGTCTTGAATTCAAATCTTCCACTTGCAATTATGTTTCTAACTACTAACATAGCCATTGTTATTTCTCCGCTTTTCCAAATAATCTGTGTCCAGATAGTACCATGACCCATGATTAACAAATATGAATCATGCTTCTAACAAAATCCCAATTGAAAAAGGTTTTCTTTCATATTTTTTTCCAGTCCTGGTCTGTAACTGTAAAAGAACAGAAAGCCAGGATACCATGACAGAAGTTTTCAGTCCCTTACCCGCTATTCTCTCTGCAGTTTCTATGCTTATGTATTTCTCCTGTCATTTGTCCTTACAATTTTTTATCTGATTATCAAATATCTGGCAAAGAAGTACTTGGCAGGATTTAGAGCTCTTCAGTCACCGGATGACCGCAGAGCTTATGGCATAATAAGAGGCTCCTAATGAAGTTCCCAGCCGTGCTGTCCCTGAAAAGCCTCGATACCGCTCACGTTCTTTTTGTCCCGTATTTCTCCACCCGTGGAACTTGGTGGGCTCCACATAGGATTTGGAAAATGGACAAAGCACAACTTGCTTGCGCTCTTTATGCACAATTTTGGCTTCAACCTCGTCTTCAAGCCCAGGGTAAGAAATAAAAAAAAATTAAAAAATAAAATAAATAAATAAATAAATAAACCCCAAAGAATCACAAGTAGCACTCTGAAGCCCTCTTTTTGCCTACTTGTTGCAGGCGCTAGCAGGTGTAGCAGCAACCTGCCCGGGAAGCCGAGGGGCGGGCAGCGCCGAGGCGGGGCGGGGCGGGGCAGGGCAGGGCACGGAGCCACCTCCGCCCCCCGGGCATCGCGGGGCCCCGGCCCGGCCTGCGCGCTCCCGGCTCGCCCCGCCCGGGCCGCGCGCGCCCCCGACCAGCGGGGGGCATCTTTTCCCGGAGCAGAAAGCACACGGAGACCGCCCCGGGAGCGAGCGGGGCAAGGCGGCTGCTCCCGGGGGATCAGCCCGCCCCAGGGCGCGCACCTGCCCCGCGGCAGCGGCGCGGCCACAGCGGGGGCGGGCCCGGACGGGAGCGGAGGGGCGGGCGGGGAGGAGCGGGGGGCGGGCGCCGCTCGCCGCCGCGGGGCTGCGGCTGGGCTGGGCGCGGGCGGCCGGCCGGCGGAGCGCTCGCAGTCGCGGCAACGCCGGGGCTGTCGGTCGGGCGGCGGGCGGGAAGGGAAGGCAAGGCGAGGCAGGCGGAGCAGGGAAGGCGGGCGGGAGGCGGCGGCGGCGCCGCGCTCGCCCCGCTGCCCTGGATGACGGGCGGCCGGTTCGACTTCGACGATGGCGGCACCTACTGCGGCGGCTGGGAGGACGGTAAAGCCCACGGGCACGGCATTTGCACCGGCCCCAAGGGGCAGGGCGAGTATGCCGGCTCCTGGTCCCACGGCTTCGAGGTGGCGGGCGGCTACACCTGGCCCAGCGGCAACACCTACCTGGGCTACTGGGCGCAGGGCAAGCGCCACGGGCTGGGCGTGGAGACGAAGGGCAGGTGGATGTACCGCGGCGAGTGGTCTCACGGTTTCAAGGGGCGCTACGGGGTGCGGCAGAGCCTCAGCACGCCGGCCCGCTACGAGGGCACCTGGAGCAACGGGCTGCAGGACGGATACGGCGTGGAGACCTACGGGGACGGAGGTGGGCGCCGGCGGGGGGCGCCCCGCGCGCGGCGGCGCCGGGGGGGCGGGAATGGGGGTGGGGGGCCGCGCCTGCGTGGGCGCGCCGCGGGCAGGGCCCGTCCTTCACCCCGCGCTCGGATCGCCGCCCTCGCACCGGGGTCGCTTCTCCTGCCTGCGGCCGTGCGTCTTTCCCGGCGCCGTTCGCTCGGCGCCCCCGAGGCCCCGCTGGCGGCGGGGGAGCGCCACAGGTGCCTGGCGCCCGCCCCGCCCCACTCTGCGAGGAGCCGCCCGGCCCCGGCTGCGCTCCGAGCGCGCTGAGCTGTCCGGGCTCAGCGCTTTCTCCCGGCCAGCTGGTAGAAATCCGCATTACAGCCGCCTGCAGACGGCTTTCCTTTCTCCCTGCCCGAGGCAGCGATGGCCGGGTGGCCGCGCCTGGGTCGGGGAGCCCAGGCACCGGGAGCCCCGGCACTTCGGCCCCCGCGCACCGCGTTCGTGCGGGAACGGCGAGAACTTGTTATAATGGAGCCCTTGTGTCACGCTGGTGTGCGGGCTTTGTGCGCCCGGCTTGTAAACAGGAGGCTGGAGCTAATGGAGTGGGGACGCAGCTTGCGTAAAATCTATGAAACTTGGGTCCACCCTCATATCATAACTCCCGTTTTTACCGAAATACGGGGTAGATTCAAGCATTCTGTTCAAAGCAGGAGGTGTGCAGTGCAGTCGCACAGACCTGCCTCTCACACCCTTCCCCACGACAAAGCCAGTGTCCCAGGGTGGGCGTGCGGGGCGGCCGCGGCGATCCGCGCTCTGCTGAAGGAGGCAGCGGTCACCTCAGGGTGCAGTGAGGTCAGCGAACACTGGAGCTTACCTGAGGCGCTCACTTACAGTTCTTGTACCTCTGGCACTTCATGCTCTGCGCGATAAATAAGCTTAATACTCTTTAATTCAGCCTTTGCTGCTGTAATGTCATTGGCCTCGCTGGAAGTGCCACCTGCAACTTCTGTAGAGTTGCTCTTCAGCTAGGAACAAGGGAGCAGGTTTGGTCTGTTGTACAGGAGGAAAAACGGGTCTCAGTTTTAGGACTAGAGAGTTGCTGGGATTTTTTTATAGAAATGCTGCTTGCTTCGGGGTTCAGAAACGTGTTCAGTTAACAGGCAAGTAATAGAATTTACCAAAATCAGAGGTACTGTTCACGTGATATGGCTAAAGGACTAACCCATGTATCAGCTCTCAGCTGATGCTTTTGCTGGTTTCTTCAAACAATTTTGTCACATCATCTCTGGTCAAACTTTCAGGAGAATGGGTATTTTTGTATTAAGCAGAAAATTAGATATTTGCAGTTGTGCTCCTATTTTTTTCTTTTCCAAAATAGAAAATGTAGCAAGTTGGTAAGATTCAGTTCTTTCAGACAAGGAAATGTGCAGTGGGATTTTTACCTTTCTGTCCCCTTGTTTAGAGATACTTGTAGCTGTCAAAAAATTGTTTCCTGGTGTGGAAAGTTCTGATATTCAAAGGCAGCTATGTTTGTGGATAAATGAAAATAAAATTTTAAAAAATACACCACCAAAATCAAGGTATGGAAGCGATCAGAATTTCAATTTCACTTTCATCACGCAATGCACTTTTCATTTTTATTATATTTGTTTCGGCTAATTACAAGCAGTGGCTTTTTTTTCCCTCTCCCTTCCCTTCTGGAAAAGTAAATTGCCATTACAGTAAATCTTCTAGAAATCATTTTCTCAAAATGAAGTTGTTTTAATCCTTTTTTCTTTAGGTTTCTTGTGGCTTTTAAAAGAAATCTTAATATAGTGCTGGTTATTGGAGGTAAATTCTCTCAATATTTAGACTTGGAACAATATATGAAGGATCCAGTTCACACCCTTAGCTGAAATCTGTTGTCATGACTCGCCTTTTGCATGTTGCAGCTCATACAAACAGAGGGTGTGAAGTCCCATTGATTTTAATGAAAGTAGTCATGAATGAAGCAGAGCAATACGTCATAGATGTTTGCAGATGTGCTTTTGTTTCCATGCTCTGGGAACAATAGATGTATTTGCACACCAGAACGACATCTGAAATGGGTTTATAAGGAAACCAGATTTACACATGCATCTTTAACATAATTTAAAACAGTTGCAGGAAAACTCTCTTCATGAATACCAGAGAATACCAGTGTAGAGAAATAACTCATTAGACTATGCCAACTGCCAGTTTATTTTCAAACTCACTATAATGCTAGCTTTATAATGCTAGCTCTTTGCTGCTAGCTTTTTGGGGTTTTTTGTTTGGCATACGTTGCTTTAAAGTGCATTGGTGGTATTATGAGATATCACTGAAGGAGGGAAAAGGAAAATAAGCATTGACAGTGTTCCTCAGTTTTGCACACAACACTTTTCGTGACATGAGTAATATATATCATGCTGTGTTTAGATGCTTAAAACTGTCACTCAGTCAAATCTCTGAGGAAAACATTGAGACTTATAAACCATGATACTTCATTAATTGCATGTGATTACATTGGGCTTTCAAGTGGCCCATCTATCTGTCCCCTGCAGCAATGTGGGTTTTTGTGCCTCCTTTAAACTCCCTAGGTTTTGTTAATCTGTGTGAAGATGCAAAACCTACCAGAGGAGTGACTGTGGCCTAATTTGAAACTTCAATATGTCTAAATTGGTTATTTATGGTCCTTCCAACATCAGCAAAAACCAATTGCATGTTGTCATTCCACAGAGGGAGAACAGGGGAAAAAAACACCCTGAAGCAAAGGTCACATATGTTCATTGATTTCTGTGAGGTCTTCTTTCTAGGTCTATGCTTATTTAACATTTGAGTGAAAAAAGCATGCAAAAGTCCTAATGCAACAACAACTTTTTTAAACTACAGAATATCTAAGTAAAGCATAAGAGCAAGTGGAGTAGTTAAATGGGTCCTTGGTCCCTCAGGTTTTTTTCAGAGTGTAGTTTTAAATTTTAGCTCCAAGTGGGCAATGACATTTACAGCTGTAAGATGCACCAAGGGTGTTTTAGAAGGGATGGCACACTGTAACTAAGGAAACAGATTATGAAATTATATCTTAGAACAACTTGCCAACAAAAAGAAAAGGGAAAAAAAATTACACTTTATAATAGCTCTCAGGCTCAAAATATGAACACCTTTTCAAGAGAACCAATTAAACACCAGATGGATGGTCAGCAGTTGTGGCTGAATGTTTCTTCAGTTACAAAGGATAGCAAGCCTAGCTTTTGAAAAATTAGTGCTAAACAATGTTACTATTTTATGGTCAAATATAATTTAAAATTATGTTGTTAATTGCAGTGTTAGTTAAAATTTTGATAATTGACCTTTAGAGGAACTGCTTTGAACTATCCTATAAGAAGAAACAGAATATGGTGTGTTTGTTGATGTATCATTCATATTTATCTTTATCTATAGAGACAGGTAAATACTGCAAATGTTTTCATTGTCATATATGGGAAAAGCTTTTTCATCATGTCTTATACATTATTGTATTTAATTATGTTGCAATATACCTTGCCTTGCTTGTTTAAAGATTTCTAAAATTTATAGAATAAGGTGATGCAGTTAAAGTCTGATATAGTCAGTCAAATTACTGTACAAGGTTCTTGCATCTACATTCTGGACATTCTCTCCATATGTCATTAAAATACTTTTCCTTTAAAATGTGAGTTGAAAAACCAAGGAAAACTAGTTGGCGTTTCAGTATTAGTATCAGAAGCCTTTCCACTGACAGATCTGTAATGACAGAAATGATAAGTTACCTGCTACACTGCATAAAACTCAGCCTAAATATCTCATACTTTTTAAAGACAAAATGAGCATGAATCTTCCATTTTCTTTTTTACTGTTTTCTCTTTAGAAGAAGCTGGCATTGATTTTATTTCCCCAATAAAAAGAAAAATTGGACTAGTGGATAGCAGCATATTAATTGTTCTTGTTTTAATGCCCTTAAGGGAAGCAGAAAACACTTCCTTTCTTTCTAGAGCAGTGAAAAATACAAGTCCTAAATTAATTCAGTATTTTTGTGCTTTCCATTGAACACATGTTTATTAATTAAAATATTAGTAAGAAAAAGAGGCTGACCCTTTATACTTCTTTAAAATTCTGTACTGAAATAGTTGATTGTGCTTAAAGTCTGATGTAAGCAGCATGGAGAGCAATAATTATGAGATGCTGCTCTAATTTAATATTGCAGGATAATCAAAATTAAACTTAGATTTATTATTTCAAAATTAAATTACCAAGTGCAGAGCAATAAAGTGGTTATACTATGTAACAATAAGTGTATTTAGCCAGATTCTTAGTTACAGTATATAATCAGAGATCCCAGAAATAATTAGGGACAAAATGAAGTAATTTGTGCTCATAAAATATTAATGTATTTCCAGGAATTTACTGTTTATTAAAACAAAAAAAAAAATTAGATTGTGGTTGTATATTTACAGTATTTACAGAACATCAGTGCTCTTGTTTCTATTTGTTCTTCCCCATATGCTGTGTTTTTTAAAATAATCATGTTCCTAGATTCAGCAGCCTTACAAACAGTGCAGTAGTAGGTATCCAGGATACAGAGAATGAGAAAGAAACTAAGAAAGTTATTTGTTTGTGTCAGCAGCCATCTGTTAAAACCTTCCACTTGGTAGAATTTTCTACCAACATGAAATAGTTATGTTTTGGAACCTATCTAGCATTATATAATAGCAAAAACAGACTTAGCAAATTTAATTATGTGTTAACACTGAAATACAAGTTAGCAGAAGAGGTAAAGAGTAAGGCAGTACTTGATAGATGTGGACACATACACAACCTAACCAGTAGGTATATATAGAAGAGATTGAATCTCAAAGCAAATGGATCTTGGATCTACATCTTTAATGGCAGGTACTTCACAAATATTTTCACAAAAATTTTATCAATCACTGAATTTG